TGCTGCTTTGAAAGATGATAAACTTGTAAAACCACTTGGAGACAAGTTGGAGAAAAGTCCTTGAAAGAGTTTGCTGAGATTTTCACACTTGCTAGATCATTTTCACACTTGCTTTGTTAATGCCTATTCAGCATCGTTCACACCCTCTTAAGCCTTGCCCCATTAATCTCTTTAAGAATTCACATGTAAAAGTTTGTAAGTCAACATGGCATTGTCCTTCAGAAAGTAATCTTTCAACTGAAATTTTCTCCCACTGAGCTTTGTTGATAGCACCAGCTAAATTCAGGGCAGCAATGTTATTGAGCTGTAGCAACACTTTTGCAGTTGTCCACAGGGGAAAGGGGGATCCCTAGTCAATTGTACGACTGAATGCCTTCAAGTGAAATGTGTCTTCCGCATTTAACCCAACCCCTCTGAATCAGAGAGGTGCGGGGGACTGCCTTAATCGACGTCCCGGTGAACAGTGGGTTAACTGCCTTGCTCAGGGGCAGAGCGACAGATTTTAACTTTGTCAGGTCGGGGATTCGATCCAGCAACCTTTCGGTTACTGGCCCAATGCTCCTACCCGCCAGGGTACCTGCAGCCCCATACTCTCAGCCAAAGCCCCCCACCCCCATTCCGCTCATTTCACTACACGTACAAAGCAGTCGAAGTTTAAGCACCGCCTTTGCCCAATCCTGGTAAGTCCAAATAATCAGTGACGAAAATACAAAGACCGGAACTACTGCTGCTCCTTATCGTACGCATTCCATCCTATCAAGACAGATTATTTGGTTTACGCTCAGAATCTATCCATGAGAGATTAAGAGCAGTCCATAGACCTCATACGAGGTAAGGAAACAAATATCTGAATACATTATTTCGCTGAACTTTCCCATTACGTTCAAAGAGTTACTACTTTTAAAGGCCCAGTAAAGGTGCCGCCAAACAAAGCCATGTGTGAAAACAGTCTGTGATTAAAAGACTGAAACACTGGAAGCATTTAAAGGTTATACAGTTCTACCTGCAAATCATACATATTTCTACCTCAATCACATATCAGTAGTAATGAAGGAATAAAAATCCACTAGACAAAAATTGCCCGTTCCAGCCAGCTTTGTGTGTAGACAACATTAGCAAAACATTGAAATTACAACACTTCCTAAACTCCTTGCAACAGTTGTTTCACAACAGTTTTTGTAATACAAATGTTTATATATTTTGTTTAAAGGAGGCGTTATGTTTTTTGACAAACAAATCTCTATTTTTGATATAAATGGAATGTTATAGAAGTGTCCGGACACCTTTTTTGTGATTTCACTTGTTTTTTAGAAACTTACCCCAAACAGCAAATCACTTCCTCATCCTCGTTGTGTAGTATGAAAAAACATGAACAAAAAACATGAACACCCAAATACGTCCTTTTAGAAATGGCAAAGCTCTCAGTATAGTGATGCAGGTCTTTAGGGGTCGGTTTCGCGGACACAGATTAAGCCTAATCCTAGACAAAATTACACTTTTCAACTGGACAGTCTGATTTCCAGAAGGACGATTAGAGCTAATCTAGATCTAAGTAAAGGCTTAAATTAAACCTGGCCAGAGGCAGGTTTAACTTCAGATTAATGAATGCTGGCCCCCAGGTTGACGTTGGCAATGGAGGAACATTGATTACCTGGACTATTTAAATTATGATCAAAGAGCACCACCAAGGCCAGACATAAGGGCAGTTATAGACAGGAGCAACCCACTGAATGATTTTGATGGAATCAATTTCCGTGACAGCTGACATTTGTTTGCTTGATCCGTTCATCTGACTCTCTTCGGGGAAGGCCCATCCCTCCTTCCCTATACAGTGGGGAGAACAAGTATTTGATACACTGCCGATTTTGCAGGTTTTCCTACTTACAAAGCATGTAGAGGTCTGTCATTTTTATCATAGGTACACTTCAACTGTGAGAGACGGACTCTAAAACAAATATCCAGAAAATCACATTGTATGATTTTTAAGTAATGAATTTGCGTTTTATTGCATGACATAAGTATTTGATACATCAGAAAAGCAGAACTTAATATTTGGTACAGAAACCTTTGTTTGCAATTACAGAGATCATACGTTTCCTGTAGGTCTTGACCAGGTTTGCATACACTGCAGCAGGGATTTTGGCCCACTCCTCCATACAGACCTTCTCCAGATTCTTCAGGTTTTGGGGCTGTCGCTGGGCAATACGGACTTTCAGCTCCCTCCAAAGATTTTCTATTGGGTTCAGGTCTGGAGACTGGCTAGGCCACTCCAGGACCTTGAGATGCTTCTTACGGAGCCACTCCTTAGTTGCCCTGGCTGTGTGTTTTGGGTCGTTGTCATGCTGGAAGACCCAGCCACGACCCATCTTCAATGCTCTTACTGAGGGAAGTAGGTTGTTGGCCAAGATCTCGCGATACATGGCCCCATCCATCCTCCCCTCAATACGGTGCAGTCGTCCTGTCCCCTTTGCAGAAAAGCATCCCCAAAGAATGATGTTTCCACCTCCATGCTTCACAGTTGGGATGGTGTTCTTGGGGTTGTACTCATCCTTCTTCTTCCTCCAAACACGGCGAGTGGAGTTTAGACCAAAAAGGTCTATTTTTGTCTCATCAGACCACATGACCTTCTTCCATTCCTCCTCTGGATCATCCAGATGGTCATTGGCAAACATCAGACGGGCCTGGACATGCGCTGGCTTGAGCAGGGGGACCTTGCGTGCGCTGCAGGATTGGCGGCGCACAATTGGCCCAGCGTCGTCCAGGGTAGGGGAGGGAATGGCCGGCAGGGATGTAGCTCAGTTGATAGAGCATGGCGTTTGCAACGCCAGGGTTGTGGGTTCGATTCCCACGGGGGGCCAGTATAAAAAAAATAAATAAAAAATGTATTCACTAACTGTAAGTCGCTCTGGATAAGAGCGTCTGCTAAATGACTAAAATGTAAATGTAAATGTAATCCATGACGGCGTAGTGTGTTACTAATGGCTTTCTTTGAGACTGTGGTCCCAGCTCTCTTCAAGTCATTGACCAGGTCCTGCCGTGTAGTTCTGGGCTGATCCCTCACCTTCCTCATGATCATTGATGCCCCACGAGGTGAGATCTTGCATGGAGCCCCAGACCGAGGGTGATTGACCGTCATCTTGAACTTCTTCCATTTTCTAATAATTGCGCCAACAGTTGTTGCCTTCTCACCAAGCTGCTTGCCTATTGTCCTGTAGCCCATCCCAGCCTTGTGCAGGTCTACAATTGTATCCCTGATGTCCTTACACAGCTCTCTGGTCTTGGCCATTGTGGAGAGGTTGGAGTCTGTTTGATTGAGTGTGTGGACAGGTGTCTTTTATACAGGTAACGAGTTCAAACAGGTGCAGTTAATACAGGTAATGAGTGGAGAACAGGAGGGCTTCTTAAAGAAAAACTAACAGGTCTGTGAGAGCCGGAATTCTTACTGGTTGGTAGGTGATCAAATACTTATGTCATGCAATAAAATGCAAATTAATTACTTAAAAATCATACAATGTGATTTTCTGGATTTTTGTTTTAGATTCCGTCTCTCACCGTTGAAGTGTACCTATGATAAAAATTACAGACCTCTACTAGCTTTGTAAGTAGGAAAACCTGCAAAATCGGCAGTGTATCAAATACTTGTTCTCCCCACTGTAAGTACTGATTAACTGAGATTCCTACTGCAGCCCTCATCCTCAACATACAATGCCCGTTCTGCCAGTCACATTCTGTTAAAGGTCCCCAATGCACACACATCCCTGCAGCTAGCGACTGGAACGAGCTGCAAAAAACACTCAAACTGGACTGTTTTATCTCCATCTCTTCATTCAAAAACTCAATCATTTTAGGCGAAAATTAAAAAAAAGGGTCCGAACCTTATTAACAAAGTACTGAGTCTGAATACTTATGTAAATGTAATATTTCCGGGGGGGTTTTGGTATACATTTGCAACAATTTCTAAAAACCTGTTTTCGCTTTGTCATTATGGGGGATTGTGTGTAGATTGATGAGGGGGAAAAATTATTTAATCCATTTTAGAATAAGGCTGTAACATAACAAAATGTGGAAAAAAGTCAAGGGGTCTGAATACTTTCCGAATGCACTGTATATATGGATGTCATATTCCCATCAAGTGTCCCTCTACAGCAGATACTGAGGAGTACAGGAATCTTAAAAACTGCTTCTCAATAAATGTACAAAGTGTGTGCACTCCCAATATGCAGTTCTCCAACATTGTTGCACGTTGGAAAGGTGATTTTCCCAAACTCCTCTTTGTCTGCTCAGCTTGAAGGAGGACAACATAGTGGAATCATACTTGGTGACAGTGGGTATAAACAGACCAACTTCTTGTTCACCCTCTATCATCATACAATTACATTTACATTTTAGTCATTTAGCAGACGCTCTTATCCAGAGCGACTTACAGTTAGTGACTGCATAAATGTTTCATACAATAGAACCTGAGCAAGAACGGTACAACCAAGCTCATATCCACACCAGAGGTGTAGTGGAGCGCATGTTTGGAAGAGTCGTTTCCAGTGTCTCAGAAACACATTGCGCTTTCAACCAAGAAGATGCTGCATTTTCATAATTGCAACAGCAGTGCTTCACAATCACCTCAAACAGCATGGCTGCCCAGATCCTCACATGGAGATGAGGATGACCCAGATGTTCCCATAGTTGAGGCAGACAATGACAGAAATGGACAAGGCTGCAGAGGCTTTTGCTATGCAGCACTTCTCACAACAAAGATAGCTATTTTTATTTATTTATTTTTATGTCATTTAGCAGACGCTCTTATCCAGAGCGACTTACAGGAGCAATTAGGGTTAAGTGCTTTGCTCAAGGGCACATCAACAGATTTTTCACCTAGTCGGCTCGGGGATTAGAACCAGCGGCCTTTCGGTTACTGGCACAACGCTCTTAGCCACTAAGCTACCTGCCGCCCAAGTGATTGAAGCAAATAATAGCCGTGGATTGGTAACAAAAATGTTTTTAATTCACAAATGGAAATATCGGGACCCCGAACTGGTACTGGATCGAGAAGAACATTGGTACTGCTGCTGCTTCATGTTTCTCTCCTCCTCCTTCATAGCCAACTCAACATGAAGGATTTGCATCTTCAAATCATGCTCTTCTTTTAAATACATTAGTTTGCGCTCATGAAATTCCATGTCCAGTTTCTCATGAATGCTCAGCATTTTTGTCTTTATCCTCTGGCCTGGCTTAGTTATACAATCTTCCCTCTTGGCTGCTGCAGATGTAGCGGGCTGACCTTCCTCCTGTCTTATCCCCTCCAAGCTATGGTGATCATCTGCCTCTTGAAAATGATTACATTGCTGCATTAGAGAACATTATCTCTTCAAGAGTTGAGTTCATTACATCATTTTTATTATGGGAATGCAAGAGATGACTGACAACATTACATATTCCCTGCAGTCCGGGGATGGCACATGTTGAATGAATGTGTCCTACCAAATGAGGATTAGAACAGTCCCCCATCTGAACTGTCCAAACGGCCATCAGGGATACCTTCCACGGGTTTGCTAGCTATTATGATCCCGGTCAACAAGTCCCCCAGTTCATCTGTCTCTGGTCTTACCAGTCTTCAAACACTCCCTACGAGTAACAGCATTTGTCTTCTTTAAGTAGATTTTTTATGTTTTTCCACGGGACCTTAGAAAGAAAAGACAACATAAAAATGATATTAGTAATTATGTATGATATTGTTTGTGTTACATTTCTGTCACACAAATACATTTGGCCTTGCCTACACCTAGCGACTTGTTTTTTAATAATATGAGGGAAAAATATTCAATTTTATTTGGAACGGCAAGCCAGACAAAATTAAACAGGCCTATTTATATAATGAATATGAATTCTGAGGGCAGAAATGATTCAATATTACAGCATTAGACCTCTCACTAAAGGCTTCAGTCATACAAAAGTAATACTTAAATCAGAACTGGTTCTCTAGCAGATTAGTAAGAATGTGTACGCTGGGAGTCGGGAAGCAAGTACTGGGAATGACTTTAATGATAAATGAAACACAAGTAGCGTACAGACATGAAACACAGGAACAGAATCAATAACGCCTAGGGAAGGAACCAAAGGGAGTGATACAGTGGGGAAAAAAAAGTATTTAGTGAGCCACCAATTGTGCAAGTTCTCCCACTTAAAAAGATGAGAGAGGCCTGTAATTTTCATCATAGGTACACGTCAACTATGACAGACAAATTGAGAAAAAAAATCCAGAAAATCACATTGTAGGATTTTTAATTAATTAATTTGCAAATTATGGTGGAAAATAAGTATTTGGTCACCTACAAACAAGCAAGATTTCTGGCTCTCACAGACCTGTAACTTCTTCTTTAAGAGGCTCCTCTGTCCTCCACTCGTTACCTGTATTAATGGCACCTGTTTGAACTTGTTATCAGTATAAAAGACACCTGTCCACAACCTCAAACAGTCACACTCCAAACTCCACTATGGCCAAGACCAAAGAGCTGTCAAAGGACACCAGAAACAAAATTGTAGACCTGCACCAGGCTGGGAAGACTGAATCTGCAATAGGTAAGCAGCTTGGTTTGAAGAAATCAACTGTGGGAGCAATTATTAGGAAATGGAAGACATACAAGACCACTGATAATCTCCCTCGATCTGGGGCTCCACGCAAGATCTCACCCCGTGGGGTCAAAATGATCACAAGAACGATGACCTGCAGAGAGCTGGGACCAAAGTAACAAAGCCTACCATCAGTAACACACTACGCCGCCAGGGACTCAAATCCTGCATTGCCAGACGTGTCCCCTGCTTAAGCCAGTACATGTCCAGGCCCGTCTGAAGTTTGCTAGAGTGCATTTGGATGATCCAGAAGAGGATTGGGAGAATGTCATATGGTCAGATGAAACCAAAATAGAACTTTTTGGTAAAAACTCAACTCATCGTGTTTGGAGGACAAAGAATGCTGAGTTGCATCCAAAGAACACCATACCTACTATGATGCATGGGGGTGGAAACATCATGCTTTGGGGCTGTTTTTCTGCAAAGGGACCAGGACGACTGATCCGTGTAAAGGAAAGAATGAATGGGGCCATGTATCGTGAGATTTTGAGTGAAAACCTCCTTCCATCAGCAAGGGCATTGAAGATGAAACGTGGCTGGGTCTTTCAGCATGACAATGATCCCAAACACACCGCCCGGGCAACGAAGGAGTGGCTTCGTAAGAAGCATTTCAAGGTCCTGGAGTGGCCTAGCCAGTCTCCAGATCTCAACCCCATAGAAAATCTTTGGAGGGAGTTGAAAGTCTGTGTTGCCCAGCGACAGCCCCAAAACATCACTGCTCTAGAGGAGATCTGCATGGAGGAATGGGCCAAAATACCAGCAACAGTGTGTGAAAACCTTGTGAAGACTTACAGAAAACGTTTGACCTGTGTCATTGCCAACAAAGGGTGTATAACAAAGTATTGAGAAACTTTTGTTATTGACCAAATACTTATTTTCCACCATAATTTGCAAATAAATTCATTAAAAATCCTACAATGTGATTTTCTGGATTTTTTTTCCTCATTTTGTCTGTCATAGTTGACGTGTACCTATGATGAAAATTACAGGCCTCTCTCATCTTTTTAAGTGGGAGAACTTGCACAATTGGTGGCTGACTAAATACTTTTTTCCCCCACTGTATATATAGGGAAGGTAATCAGGAAGGTGATGGAGTCCAGGTGAGTCTCATGAGGCGCAGGTGCGCGTAACGAAGGTGACAGGTGTGTTTAATAATGAGAAGACTGGCGATCTCGAACGCCGGAGAGGGAGTATATGTGACACTCACCCTTGTTCAAGAATGGTCTTTTTCCCTTTATTTCAGAATACCTTCGGTTATTTGAAACGACAGAGAGGGAGTATACGTGACAGTACCCCCTCCCTGACGTGTGACTCCAGCCACAGGACGCCGACCAGAGGGACGGGCCCAGGGACCAGGAGCGGGCCAATCGTTTCTGCTGAGGCTAGGGAACCTGTCGTTCCGGCTGGGGCATGAGAGCCCATCGAGCCGGCTGGGGCATGGGAGCCCATCGAGCCGGCTGGGGCATGGGAGCCCGTCGAGCCGGCTGGGGCATGGGAGCCCGACGAGAGGGCTGGGGCATGGGAGCCCGACGAGCTGGCTGGGGCATGGGAGCCCGACAAGCCGGTTTTATGTTTTTCTGCCATGCGTAATATGCAGTAAGCTATGTATTGTATAATGGCACAATCATAATTTTAATTCAGGTTTTTTTTCGGGCTTGGGCTCATAAGCCTATGCATGTTTTACACTCTGTTGAACTCTTGATCATCACAGTGAGGTGAGTTTAAAAAGCATGATACTGTTTTGATGTTAAGTGTTTGATGTGATTTTCGATTACATTTGCATCAATGTCAGCGTGGTTAGAGGGACAATAGAGCCCTGAGTACCAGGCCATTAGGACCTGATGGTCATTAGCAAGTTGGGTACTACCAAAGCAGTGGAGGCTGGTGGGAGGAGCTATAGGAGGACAGGCTCATTGTAATGGCTGGAATGGTATTAATGGAACGGTATCAAACAGATCAAACATATGGAAACCATGGTTGACTACGTTCCATTTATTCCATTCCAGCCATTACAATGAGCCCGTCCTCCTCTAGCTCCTCCCACCAGCCTCCACTGTACAAAAGCATGTCCAGAGTGCATAAGAGGAGATTACCGTGACTTAATGGTCAAGTGGAGTTTTACTGCAGTCATGACTCATGACTGCCGGTGTGGTGGTAATAGGGTCACCGCAACAGCCCTAAGCCTATGGATTGTTTCATTATGCAGTGTAGCCTACTATCTGTAGCTGTATACATTTACATCATTTAGCAGACGCTCTTATCCAGAGCGACTTACAGTTAGTGAATACATATATATATTATTTTTTTATACTGGCCCCCCGTGGGAATCGAACCCACAACCCTGGCGTTGCAAACGCCATGCTCTATCAACTGAGCTACATCCCTGCCGGCCATTCCCTCCCCTACCCTGGACGACACTGGGCCAATTGTGCGCCGCCCATGAGTCTCCCGGTCGCGGCCGGCTGCGACAGAGCCTGGATTCGAACCAGGATCTCTAGTGGCACAGTTAGCACTGCGATGCAGTGCCTTAGACCACTGCGCCACTCAGGAGTGAGTATACAGTATTTATCTGCTATTTATAAACTTTCTAATAAAAATTACACATCAAATAGCCTAACAATGAGGAAAAAAGCAGTCGGCTTGAGGTTAAATGTAGCTACTATTTATTGTTGAACTCAGCAAGTTTTGTCTGGCTAATAGCCTACACAAATGGAATGCAATCAAGGTAAATTAAATTAAATCCAACTTGAGAGCCTCCCCTGGTCTTCTGAAGTCCTCCTTGTTGCTTCTCTCTCTGTGTCTCTTGTTCTCTTTCTTTCTATTAGAATAAAGTATATCTGTGTCTCTTGTTCTCTTTCTTTCTATTAGAATAAAGTATCTCTGTGTCACTTGTTCTCTTTCTTTCTATTAGAAAAAAGTATCTCTGTGTCTGTGCTTGTCTCTTTCTTTTTTTTTCTATGTGGAGGCCTATAGTAGCTACAGTATGCCACTGCATCACCTTGTATTTTTGTGTGCAAATGTTTTCACCACAGCCTGTAGGTCCAGGTTGCAGGCCCAACTGTTTTCTATACTGAGTATTGACAACCCAGACTTTCCTGAGACATTGTGCATTATATGCCCATTGAGCTGCACCCAATTTAAACTTAGTCTTGAATGATCTATGCCAAGATACAGTATATCAGAGATAAGGGACTGTTGATATTGCAACCACACAACTCTAATGCCGGTTCACCAGTATGAACAAAATCGCAAACCACTTTCTTTGGTTGAGCCCTCAAGAACTGTTGTCTGCTAAAGATGATAATCTGGTTGCATCTGCCAATTTATAGGCTGTCCAGTATCCAGACGACCTGTCCCAGAGCTTCCTATACAGTTAATCTCTTTCCGTAATGTGTTAAGGCCGGCAATTAAGGAGAATGCGAGAGGCTCAATTAAAGATGTTGCACAACTGCTGTATTTGAAGCACCACTGCTGTATTTGAAGCACCACTGCCCAGATTCCCTGATGTTGCTATGGCAATCAAGCTGTTTTTAACTATCCCTGTAACTGTCTCTTCTGAAGAGAGACCGTTTTCTAAACTAAGGTTTCTATTCATTCCGCATCGCGGAAGTTCAGCTTTTCAGCGTGATTTAAATTTAAAGTCAATGTTCCTGCTTTAGCAGAGACTGCATTCCCAGTCAACACTGCATATGTTTGCTCAATCGGAAATTACCCTTACATTTCTATCGCGGAATCTAACGCTTCAGCTTTACAGATTGAATAGAGCCCTAAAACTCATAAAGAACTACCTAAGAAGCATGCGGCTCTCGGTCTGATATGTGCTTTTGAACACCTGAGTAAGCCACTCATTGCACTGTCGCCGTCATAGCCTTGACCACAGCATTTGTTCACCGATATCCCCTTACTTTCAATCAGTTCAATTATTTATTTTTAAAGGTCTGAGGCACTTTGATTAGTCACATTCTCGAAGCCCAAGAAACAAATACTTAGCTACCTAGTACATATGGAAATTAAAAATGTTTATGAATTACTTTTTGGAGGTTACTGTCAAAATGATTTCTATTTTTAAAAGACATCGATGACAGTCACATGGGACAAGATTCCTGTCATATATTGTCCATAGACTGCTTACAGGGTAAGGAAACCAATATGTATTTTGTAATTTGGGTGAACAATCCCTTTAAACTTTTTCTCTGTCTCAAAATCTGTATTAGCCAATTTAAGTCGTTGACATTGTTGCACGTGATAGAACACTACATGTTAGGTGTTCCCATAAAACAATCTGGCACACTTAGCCCTATGCTAACCTGACCAGCTGCTTCAGCCAATTACGAATGTTGACGTAGTTGGACGTGATTAAACACTTTTTCATGAAAGCGTTCAGAAGTCAAACAGTGCCATCTGCTAATCAAAGTTACTAAAACACATGCAACAATTCAGCTAGATGAATAGCTCATAGTGTAGTGAGTCTGGCTCCTTGTAATTTTCGCAGTTTGCGGCAAGTTCAAATCCCAGGTGAGATATTGGCCGTGTCCGAATACCCGAACTTGTGTTCTAAATAGTAGGCATTTTGGGTATGCAAAAAGTTGAGTATGCTTTAGGCATTTTGGGTATTTCAAAAGTTTAGTATGTTTTAAATGCCAAGATATCATACTCATTTCAGCTTTTCTTTTAGTAGAATTCGCTGCACACTATTGAGGAAGAGAATCGTCTTTCGAGACCGACGTGTTTGAGAACAGCTGATGATCAGCTGAGGGGAAGCAGTGTATCAAAATGAACGAATAGCAGGAATTAGATGATGCATATTCAGTAGGATGAGCCTAGTATGCTGATATTTGTTGCATACTGCATTCCTTTTTCTAAACAGTAAGTTCTAAGTAGTATGATCAGTACACAGGATGCAGTTTAAGTAAATAGTAGGAAGCCAGATTGCGGACACGGACGTTGTTTTTCCTTTGAAATGTAGAATTACATTTATTGTGTGTGTGTGTTTTGTATGCACGCATGACTGTAAGTCGCTTTGGATAAAAGTGTCTGCTAAATGGCATATTATTTATTATTTTATTATTTTTTGCGAAGGGAAGTGCAGCCAAAACCTTTTAAATGATTCCGAATATATTTAATAAGGAGCTTCTTGGAGTCCCTCTTGCAGACTGACACATAGGCAACTGCTACATAAATAATTGTCGCTACAATATGGGCTATATTACATAGACCTATGCAACATTTTATATGCATTATTATAATCATCCACTTCGTCACATATGCATTATTATTATTATTATTAAAACATTAACTGACTTACAGTATTGGTGCAAGACACCTGGAAGCAACAGTAATAGAGGTACGTGACAGCTATTTGACAAGACCATAAGGCTTTTCAAATTGTTATTTTACGATGTACTATAAACATAAATGTTGTATAGACCTCCTTTATCTTTTTTCCAGAAAAGCACATGGATGTGTGTGAAACGGATAAGGAAAAAGGTGGGATTTTGTCATATATGCGAAAACGTGCATTTTGAATTTAGTCTAACATTAGTAGGTAGTAGCCTAGTCAAGGATGCATCATGCAATATTAGCACACTACTCTTGTGACAGACAAAATGGAACAAACATAAACCTTGAATTTGGAGGTTTATAATATCCCTCTGGTGGCCAAGTTGACCCATAATTTAAGAAATGCCATTGGTTGGTGGATATACAGTCTAAGATCCTTGATTGGCTGATGCAGAATTTGTTACAGGAAATAATAATCGCCAGCTGGTCAGGTTAGCATAGGGCTAATTGTGCCAGATTATCTAATGGGAAAAGCTAACATGTAGCGTTTTATCATGTGCAACAACGTCAACAATTTTAATTGACTGATGCAGATTCTGAGACAGATAAAAAGTTTAAGTTTAAACTTTTTCTAATGTTCGCAAATATGGACCCTTTAAGTCTTTAAGATCGCCGGACATGTTTTTTTTTTGTCTAAATGCTGACAGATTTTAGTTTGTATTGACTGCTACTGTATGTTGAACATATCCTGTCACTGACATCCTGATAATGTGTTGAAATACCTAACACTGTTCACGTTACAATGAACTAAGATGCTTAATTCTGTCTGGCACAGAACACAACATGCCTTTACCCAGTTTTTGGTAAGATAGCCAAGCCTTTGGCCAAGTTACTGTACACCAGCTCCATTGGAACTGCAATATGTAAACCACAGTCATCTGTCTCTTTCACTCAACAAAACATGCCAGCAGGAACTCCGAGAAGTATCTGCATGGGGTTCCAATTGAAGGAACTGTTCGATTTTGGTAGACTGACTGCCTACAGTTTATCTCCAATACCAGACCTGTCTTCTCTAGCCCCCCTCTCGGTCCAGCATAATGTTGCACTGTTTCTCTTGCAGACATTGTCCATCATTCATTCTTCCTCTCTACCTGTCTCTCACTCTACCCCACACTTTGCACAATGGGCAGTGTCTTTTCACAATTCACTGCTTGTGTGTGTATCTTCTGGGGGTATTGTCTTTGTCTCAGGCTTCACAGCGTGAAAACAAAAATACATGTGAAGAAATGTCTGTGAGGATTGGA